TGTACAGTATGACACCAGGGAGGTGGAGTCGCCCTCCCCACTGTGACACCCACCACCTCGCCCCATCCTATCATATACACTGCTCTCCCTCAAAATTAAAAATGCATCAGGGAACGGATTAGATGCACGATCCCCAGCTCTACTGATCCGAATGGTGAAGCTGTCAGGAAAAAGGATTGGGGGGAAGGAGGGGGGTTGATAGACTGGAGATGAAGGGAGGAAGAGGGATGGATTGGTGGGAAGTCGCCCTCCCTCCTCCTTTCCTTCTCTTTCTTCTCCTCCCTCCCTTACTGCAGACTTCTCGACCACCCTCAGCATACACTCAGTCACTTCTTTTATTTACTGCTCTTTCCTCAGCAGACTCATCCCTCGTATGCCGTTTGGGTTGAGTAGCCTTTTCCTCCCTCCTCCCTTCTCCTTTCCTAGCCATCCCAGTGTCTTCCTTTCAGTTCTTTCTCCCATTCCTTCAGTCTTTCTTTTTCCCTTTCTTCAACAGCATGCACAGCTTTTACTCTTCCTGCCACAGATCTGTTGGAATGAAATTCATCTTTAACAGGCCTCTTGATTCATGATGGATTATAGTTCCAATAGTGAAACGTAATGGTATTTAAAGTCCCTCTGATGTCGTTTCTTAGAAAATGAGACAGCCCAGGTGAAGATTGGTGATTTACTGCATATAGTATACGCCAAAAACCATAATACTGTTCCAACGCTGCCAATTTCATCACTATGCGTAAGCTTATGAATCCACTTGTTACATGCAATTTTATCAGGCTTCTCCATCCCAAGCCCATCTGGGATGTTAAAGCCCCTCTGCAAAGATATCAATGAGAATAATACCCGCTAAACTACTGAATGTCTGAATTTTCAAGAATCCTTGTTTTTATTTATTGGTTTGGTTGGAAGCGGCGATAGAAAGTGTGTCTGAGGACCACAAGACATCTTCATTATAGTATATCTTGGCGTCTTTTTTCAGTCAGCAACAGTGGGCTTGTAATAATACATAATTAGCATTTCATCTGAGAAGAGCTGGCCACCTGAAGAAATTTTGGAGGTTGGTGCTGCTCAACCCTATTAGTAATAAACACAGCATTAGCTGTAACGATTCAAAGAAACTGCAACTAGTGTAACTTCCTGTTTTATTCTTTTGACCACACTCCACTCTTTGTTTAGTTTCCCGCCCTTTTCCCCCCACACCTGCATTTCAGTTAACCATCACCTCATCTATACCTCCAATCACTCACTCTATCCATGTCATGTTATCCACCGCTTGACCCCGATTTTCTGTGTACACTCAAAAAAATGTTACCGTAAATTAACAGTATTTTACTGGCAGCAAGGACGCCGGGAATTTACTGTTATTTTACGGTATAATACCGTAAATGGTTTTTACACTATGTTACCGCAAAATGGATTACTGTATGTTACCGTAAACTTGAATAAATTTTACTGTGAATTAACTGCAATTTACTGGCAGTCGACGCTAGTAACTTACTGTTTTATTTACAGGGACCTACCGTGATATACGGTATGTTGTCACATATTGGATTACAGGAATGTTACCGTTTACTTATAACCGTATACTTTTGCATTTAATTCCCGACAAATTAAAGACAACCAAACTCATTTCGGTCATAGTGGTTGGAGTTTATTAGATGCCTTTAAGACAAAAATGTTAGGCATTTGTAACCAAGAACAAAACATGAAATATGCCGCATGTATACAATAATAAAGAAATGAATCATAAAACCATTAGGAACAAGGTAAACTAACTGCAACAATACGCTATGGAACACTTTCAAGTGACCGCAGCAGACGGCTGGCGTCCTTAATCCAGTGCCTCTGTAAAACAAACCAAAATGAAATATTTAGAAACACTGTCATTGGTAAAATATTAAAATTACAAAGATGAGGAAGACAACAAGATGTAAGGAAGGAGAATGTTAATCATGAAGGCAAATAACACTTACCAACGTTACTTGGAGAGACGAGGCAATGAGAAACTCCTCCGATGTTGAACTGACAGGTGTTCTGGATGAACTGAGATTACGCGTCTGACGTCACGTTCAGGAGCAGTCGGTCACGATTAACACTCAAATGACTTTTAGGCAATGAACACTTTAAATAATAATAATTTACATTCCAGCGACTGAAACGACAGCGAAGGCGGCGCATGGGATAGGGAGGGTGTGCTGTGCAGCACAAGGTTGGCGGTTCGAATCCTCGCTGCTTCCTGTGCCAAATTGAAGTGTCACTGAGCAAGACACCTAACCCCCAAATACTCCACATAAAATTATGTCAAACCATGGGCGTTTGGGGTAAAAGTGATAGCTGCATGTAAGTCAAAGTCATCATCGTATCTCATGAGATACTATCTCATTATGATGACTTACAGGACCTGTTTTTCAGTGGCTGACATGGGCTTCCATACATTAACCTACTGCACTTGTATGTGTATTTCCACCACTTCATAAAATATATGTAACATGCAGTTGAATTACGGTAGTTTGCTATTATTGTAAATTGACAGCTTTAACTGTTTATTCATGACTTTGGCCGTTAATTTACAAGCAAGGGATGGAAATTTAACTGTATGTTACAGTTATTATGACATACTGTAAGATACCGTTAGAAACGCATCGTAAATTTACAGCAATTCCTTACAGTGTACTTAGACAGCAGAGCTCCTACTGTCATTTTGTGTTTTTTTTGTTTCAAGCCCTTTTGTTTTCCCCTTTTCCAGCGTGTCAAGTCCGCTTGTGCCTGTGCTGCTTTGGAGTTGTTTTGCAAAGTAAAGTTTTTGGTTGCCAGTAAAGATCCTAAACTTGGAAAAAAGTAGTTTTGGGATTTTCATTTCATTCCTCTGCGCCTGAGTCTCAGTCCTGATCCCTCGCATCAGCTAGTTTCATCCGCCTAAAATACATTCCATCACATCTTTCAAAATAAAATAATAGTGGTTCCAAGTCTGTCCTGTCAGTCTGGACACTACAAGCTGCTATTTCATTGGCATGGGATCACTGGTGAGTGAACTGAAAATAGAGACTACATTTTTTAAATACCTACACCACAATATGTTAAAGGATGCTGCATCCCAAATAAAAGTTAGGGAGGTGAAGAAGTGTTCATCCAGTTGTCCTGGAGTTGTGGACCTTTCCTGACCTGCAGGCTTTTCACACCGTTTGATCAATGCCTCATCGACTGCAGGCCATTCCAAGTTGTCACTTCGTCTCTGAGGTGATGAGCCAGAATGTGCCTCTCCAACTGTCACCTTTGCACCTCTTCACCCTCCTTCCTCATGTCATTCAGCTTCATTCTGCTGCGGCTCATCCTCGTTCTGCACTCAACATAGTTAAAGGGAAAAATGAACGGGTTGCTCTTGATTGAAATGATATTATCATTATTCACTCACTGGGTGGTGTTAGCCCAACTTAGTATGAAGGGTTAGGGCGAAAAGAGCACGTCTCAGTCTGGAAATGTTTTTAAGTTCAGTAAGTCCATCCATGTGTGTTCTTCCCTCGTATCTGGGGCCGGGTCGTAGTCCAGAAGACCGTCCCATCAGCAAAGCTCTCCAGTTCTTTCTGGGGACCCTGATGTGGCCAGACAAATATGTAATCTCTCCAGCGTGATGTGGGTCTACCTCTCAGGCCCTTAGCCTGAGGATTCTGATGAGATCCTGGATTGGTTTTCTTGAGCCCTGTGAGTAATAGAAAAAAACTAAGGTTAAAATACAGCAAGAAAAACAACAAAAACAATACTAATACTTTTATTTACAACACCTAAATATAATTGAAGAACAAAACACCAGTAAAACAACGGTGAAACACGAGCAGGACACTTTTAAGACACCCGTAAAACATCGCCATCTCCGTGACTTTGTGCTGCAGCTCTCCTGCTGCATCACTTCCTCCCTCATCACAGGCTCTCAGTCCCGCCTCTCATTTATTGATTGACATAATATCTAGAAAGCGGCATTTCTTAGCTTTCAGGATCCGTTAGAATTACGTTGATTATGCAAATAGTTAAGGAGTTACGATCATGTCACTTTCCGTCGCCGGCGAAAGGCTTCGGATTAAAAGGGTTAAAAGACAGTCAGTCCGTGTGTCCAATCAGAAGGGTCCGTCCTCTGCTTCCTGCTATAAGGCCCTCCCCTTTCCTTACGTGATGAAGTCTTCATCACGTTTGCATACGTGGGAGGGGTGCTCGGCTCGGACAAAACAGTCTTTTTTCTAAACCAAGTCAAGGTCCACTTATTTTAATTAGTTTGTTAATTTTATAAACAGGTTTTGTTAAACCTAACATGCATTTCTGTAACATAAGGAAACCTGACAACTAAAGTAGACCTACTACAGAAGTTTACTTGTAAAAGTAGTTAACAAAACCTGAAAGGCTCATATTATAGACTCCTATTTGCTCACTTCACGAAACTTAACTTTTCAGGTTTGCACTTACAATTTCACATTTGGTGTTTCGTCATCTCCATCGGATTCACGGCGCATGTGTTGAGGCAGTTTGCTTATTCAACCCATGCAGAAAGAAATGCTTGCTGACGTAGATGCGACTTTCTCACCTCCTTCCAGATGTCCGCCCTTAGATGTCAGGACGTAAGCCTCACCTTCTCCCAACAATGGTTCGTCCACTGGCCAATGGCAACGTTTACTTCACACCCCCCCCCCCACCCCCCAAAAAAATTCTTTCGGTTCATTCCTCCCCCCCCTTTGACATTCACTTTTGTCGCCTACTCCATCAAGTCCCATCTCTGAGAAAATTAGCATCTCTTTGGATGAGAAGCTTGGAAAAAAAGAATGGGGAGGAAGCAAGAGGAGAAAAAAAAAGGAAGACGGGGAGGGAGGCAGAGGCGGAAGAAGGAGGAATAAGGGAGGGGGGCAGGAAAGGGAGTGTATTTGGGTGAGGTATACATATGTGTGTGTGTGTGTGTGTGTGTGTCTGTGAAACGAGGGGGGGTTTGATAGCGGGGGGGGGAGTAGGCACTAGATTAAATTTTGCCGTCTAGAAAATGAGAAAAAAGGGCCCCCCTCTATCTCCGGGAGTCTACTGGGGAGATCTTTATTCTGATTCTTGTTAGAATTGTTTATCACTGTGACAGAGCAGGCCGGGTGGAGATAAAGGCAGTGCTCCATCACAGCGTTGACAGTGGTAGGACACGCGCTGGAATGAAAGGAGCCAGGGAAATATTATTAATAGATGCTGACTTGATTTGCCTGGATTGCACGTCAAGAAGTGGGGGCCAGGGCTTGATTGCAGCCCTGTGAAGTTCCGTCCAAAAAGGAAGCTATTTTTCATTAAGTGATAGAAGTCTCCCCTCTAACTGTCTCCTCCTTTTCTTCTGCTGCTCTCTCCTCATGCGCTGCTTTCCAAGGAGCTGATAACTTATGCAGTTTATTCCAAGCATGCTAATTTGTGTCAATGCAGCAGAGACGAAGAGGAGAGGATGGAGGGATGCAGCGGGATAAAAAAAAAAGTGGGACTTCTCACACTCTTCACAACATTGTCTTACGTGTTGGTATGATAGCATTTTTTTGGTAAAACGGTAGCCTCCCGCCGTTCACAATTGGCCTATCGGCGCCATCTATACAAGTGTGCGGAGCTGCAGCGCCCACAGCCCCGACGCTGAGACACCTGCACGACTCCCCCATTCCTCCCCCTCTCTTGCAGCAACAGATAAAAAAGAAGTATATAAAATGTGATTACACAGGCAGCATGTTCACAGGCACTGATACGCCGGGGCACACTTTATTTTTAGAGTGTTGCATTACTAATGGATATACAGGAAGATGAGGATTTACACCCGCCCACATACAATGCAGGCAGATATGAGCAAGCAGAGTCAATGCATCACATTTATGTGCAAAGCATCCCCCCCCCCCATCCCCCCCCTTCTCTACCACTGAAAAAAAGAAGCAAAGAAAAGAAAGAAATTGATTCACAGACGGGGGAAATGCAGCTTTTATGTGTCGTGTACAAACTTGTGAGGTGGAATTTAGGAGGCGCTCGTGTTGGTGTTCTCTGGTTAAGACGGCAGCTATGAGAATACACACACCTTTAACCTGCATCTGCTGGACATCGAGGTGCAGAGTGTGTGTGTGTGTGTGTGTGTGTGTGTGTGTGTGTGTGTGTGTGTGTGTAGCCGAGACAGATGGAGCAGCCTGAAGCACGGTGAGTGTCTCACTGATTTATCTTCTTTTTTTTTTTTACTTTGGAGTTCTGGTGTAAAAAGAATAAAATCAGCACACCTCCCTTCCTCTGTGTTTGCACACATCTCTTCCTTTCTCTCTACCTCCTGCTTTCCTCCTGTGTAATTAAGTCTGTTGCAGTTAATTTATGCACCGATATCTCCAGTCGCTGGCATTCCTGTGAAATCCTCAAAAACATTGTGAGGCTTTCTTTAATTGGATTCTATTGGCAGCACACTGTTTCAGCGCTAACATTTACCATATGAAATTCTTAGATTGGCAAATATTTTCTCAAGTGTATTATATTGGGTTATTCCCCCCCTCCCTCCCCCCCACCCATGTGTGACATTTGCTGATATTTTCAGGTTATTTTCAACAATGGATGGTTATCAGAGATTGTCTTTTATATTTTTTCCGTCTTCCCGTTCATTGTTCTGCAGGCAGATGTGATAGAAAAGCTTGTGTGGTTGAAATTGAGGAAGAGAAAACTGCAGGTCAGAATGTTCTGTATTTACTTTTGGTGCACTAATAAATAATAGTAGACGGCACACAATAAGTCTCTCTGTCTGTATGTGTGTGCACGCAGGTGAGTGGGATTCCATTTATCCCATTAAATCTAAACTAATTCACTAAAAGCTCGAGTGGGCTTGTTCTGTTAACCGGGGTCAACAGTTTCAAATGAGCTATTAAACGACTGCTGGAAGTGACAAATCTCAGAGTGTCATTCGAGAGCCTCTTTAGGTGTGATTTCCCCCCTTAATAACATCTCCAGATATGTGAGAATACTATTAATTGTGCACTCGGTGGTGCTGCGTGCCACGCCCTGCGTTCCCGAGGAGCTTGACTTATTTGCTCCTCTCGATGCTCTGAAGTAGGTGGCGACTTACACTCCCAGGAACAATGGGAGAATATTCATCAAACGTCTCATTTGATTTTTCCTGCCATCGTTCTTTTTCTTCCTCTCTCTCTCTCTCTTCCCCTCCTTTCTCGGATTGCTCGCTCTTAATATATGTCTCGCTAAATTGCTGCCGACATATGTGCGTATTTGGTTTTCTGTGAAATATTTGATTGCTGCTTCCATTGTCTGTGACAGTTTGTGTTAAGGCGTCGTGGCATGTAGGATCTTTCTCTCTCAGTGGTGAGGAGATAGAACAATTGGACTTTGCTTTAAGAAAAATGGGACAAACCAGAGGAAGAAATGTGAAAAACACGAGCAGAGTGGCTTTTTATTGTCCTTAAACGGTGAGTAACAACGCTGTGTGTTGTGCTGCAGCAACGAGAACAGTTGTTAATCTGCCGTGCAGTCAGATGCTGCAGCAATGCGTGTGCGTTATAACACGTTTCTGTCTCACAAGAGTTTCTGCTCTTAGATCAACACCCCCCACCCCCCCAAAAAAAACCTGCAGCCACTGTCGGCATATTGCTGATTGTTTTCTGTTTGGGGCTCATGGGAATCTAAAGTCTGATGAGACAACGTGTTTTGCTGCCATTGCTGCAAAAGCTCATGTTTTATTTTTAAATGGCTGAATTGAATTGACTGTTTCTAACATCTGGTTATTTGTCGGCTGTATTTATTATCCCTTGATGATCAACAGTGAAACGTGAGTGTAAATCTACGGGTGAGGACGGAGCACATCGACAGAAGGAAGAAGCAGCAGTCTGAACACAAATGGTTTTCATCTCACCTCATCGGCCCTCCACGGGAAATCTGTTTTTTCGTAACAGAAGTGGGAGTGGGAATGTTTGTGTGACATTTTGTTCTTGTTTGAAAATTAAATAAAATAAATGATGTAAAAAACAATGTACCTGTAAGCCCCTGGCCTCAAATGATTTAGCAGACCAAATCCAGGTGAAGATAGCCGGAGATATAACCATCACTACCGTTAGCTAAAGCAAAATGAGCTATTGCTTGCTTGAAGATATAATTAAAAACGCAACATTGTGATAATAAACAAGGCTGACCAAAAATGAGTTATCATATATATAAAAAATAAGCTAAATAAATAGTGCTAAAACATACACTAACTGTCAGAATATTTAAAAGTATTAAATTGTCAAATAATTTACTGTTTTGATTTTAAAATAAATTTGACTTCAACAGACATGAAGCTAATAAAAACTGAGTAAGTCATAAACCATCCTCTGCTTTTTCTCAAAGAAACTGTGTGTAAAGATATAATAGCCCATGTTTATTTGCTAAAGACATTCTTTACATGAGGTGTTATTATGAAGGTTCTGTTCCGATGATCCCACCAAGCAGATGTTTTACTGTATCTGTAATGCGTTTGGCCCGACCAGCCTAAAACTTCTAACCACTTTTCTCCTCTGAAACAGTAGCAGAGTACAGAAGATGTCGCTTCACATCACACAAGAGCCACGTGTCGTACAGTTTTCAGACAATGTCCACCTCCCGGTTCCACTCCGTTATGTCTCTGTGTGTGTGGAACTGGGACATTAAAAAATCATTCAAAGACTTCAAGCATTTATTAAACATCTGCCCATGATCTCCATACAGTGGAAGGGAAGGAACACCATTGTACCGTTGGCCTGTTATATATTATTACAGATAGGATAAATTAAAGGTGAGCGTTGGCACACGGCCAAACCGAAAAAGGTTTACACGTGAGCACAGAGCTAACAGTCATAACCACGCGGGGCGATGAAAGGTCAGGGAAAAACCTGGTGCACAACTCGCGCTGCTGCCTCCAGTTTGTCGGTCCGCAAAATGTCAGCGGCCCCCTCCCTCTCAACCGGGGCGCATGTGGCACCGGGGCGGGTGTCGCTGTTCTCAGACGGCCTCATGGTGACACTCTGCTGAGAGAAAAAGAGAGGCAAGAGAGAAACCCCCCCCCTGAGAAAACCCCGTCTTGAAGCGAAAGAGAAGAAAAGGAGGTGGAGGAGGTGGAGGAGCAGTGCTTGTTTTCCCGCTTGTTATCTCCTCACTCTGCTGCAGCTGCCTCGTTCCGCCGCACAAACACCTGCCGGCCTTCCATGACACCGAGAGGAGAGTCAATGGTGCCGTGTGATAACCTGGCCTGTCTGTGCACAGGGAACGCCGCACCTTGTGGACGTGGTTAAGATGCTGTGACACCACCACCCCCCCCCGCCGCCCCCGCCGCCCGGCTCAGCCGCTCACTCCATCTCGGCTTGTTTACTCTGTTTATGCTTTTATTTTTGTCTCCTTCTCTCTCTCCTCGGCTGCCTTTGATCTGGGCGTTCAGAAGTGGGTTTTTTTGAAAACGCTCCTCTTTTGTTCCCCCTCGGTCCCCCGTCCTCGTTCCCTGCGAGTGGCGTCTTCAGAACAGTAGAAGCGTCCAATTCTGTCACATTTCTGTCTCGCCTTTGTGTGCGTCTGCGCCGCAGTGTGTCTCTGCCTGTCTACTGTACTGTGTGGGCCTCCGCGAACCCGGCAGAGAATTGGACTACACAATAGTGTGACTTTACAATAGCTGCCGTGGCGTTATCTTGTCAGTGGAGGAGAGGCCCCTTTTGTCTACAGCGCGCAACGTCGACAAAGGCCTCCGTGTCCAACAACTTGGCTTCCCAGGAGAGGACTTTGTCCGACATGGAAAGTGGGAGGATGGTTGAATCCTGTCGGGCGGCCCCCACTAGGTAAACACGAGTTGTCCATAACGGGAGGGAGGAGAGTTCGAGAGGCCTTTACCGGATCCCCTCGGACGACGAGGTCACCAAAGGCCCATGTAGCACTTAACGTCCATGATGTGTCTGTGACAATAGCCGAGGCCTCGGGACGACACAGAGACAATCAAAGTGCTGCTCAGAGGGAAGAAAAGATTTGTTCCGCTGGTGTGAGGAGGCGGAGAGCAGAGTTACGCTGTGAGGGTACTCCAGATATCAGCCGTGCACATTTCCCCGCCTTCAATGCAATGGACGACATTCTGAACACACAATATTTCTAGTTTATCACAAAATGAAGTTTTGTTCTGTTAAAAAACCTTTTTGAAAACTGCTAAAAAAACTCGACATCTTCCTGACCGAAAGGTAGTCCAGCATCAAACAAGTGTCGCATAAGTGTGTCTCCACCGTGTGGGGCTGCCAGCAGGCAGGTGTGGCTTCTATTCACCACATGCACACAATCTATCAACTAACTCTCGCCGGGCACAGAGGAAAAGTGTCTGTTGGGGGGGGGAGTCAAAAACCCAGCCCCCCCTGTTTTGGTCCCAGTTGCCGTTTGAATGACCCTCCTGAAGTTTGCTGCTAAACAAGGGATCCATCAGTAGCTCTCAGAGTCGCCCTGCAGAGAGGACAGAGAACCAAATGCAGACCCACAACCACACAAAGTCCATCAATGGAGACACAAGTAACAGATCCAGCTTTCATGTATGTAAATACAAGCCAACAGGTTACGCTGTTGCTGTGTGCAGTTTGGGCTTCTGGTCAGACGATTACTTTTCTGCCTCGGCAGATGCAATTAGTCTTAAAGGGTTTGAAGGACTTTTGTTACAAAGAAAATGTTTGAATAAAATATGTATTTTGCTGCTTTAGTTAGATTACTTTCATCTCCTGTGAGTTGCGGTACAAGAATTTGTTTCTGGTTCATCACTTTTACAATTATTGTTGATTTGCAGTCACAGTGCAAGAAAATGGCAAAAATAATCACAGGGAAATTTAAATTGTCTAAAGCTAGATTGGAAGGGAAATCAAAATCAGGTGAATTTATTGTAACACGTTTTGTGTAATTATGCTAATCCAAAATCTGAATTTCAATTCAGGTTGTAAAAGCTCAGACATGGTCAGAAAAATAAGCAGCGTCTGTAGCCCCCCATCCCTGCCACCTCCTGCTCCCCCTGGATTTACTGGGTCTAATCCCAGCGGTCAGCTCACGAGAGTCATTGTCCTCCTAAGGGGATGAACCGGTGTGGATTGGGTTTTTAATGGCATTAGCGGCTCCGAGCAGCAACGACCGGTAAGAGGATTGTGAAGTTACGCGGACCTCTGAGGGCCTGAATATAAAAGTCTGTGGTCGTAACACCTCAGTTGTTTGCCTGCCTGATGTCCTCCATCGAAACATTCCCTGTGAGCGTGAATGACTTCCTGTGTTGTGGAAGCAGCTCGTCCGGGTTCTCGCCGCCGTCACGTTTCCCTCTTTACTGGAGCCTGAACCTGGCTCGGACTGGTTTAAAGGTTCTGCCGATTGATGCCCCAGCTTAGTTGGATTAGAGGGTGAAAAGACGCACTAATCCAGCCGGCTGTACCCTGGTCAACAGAATACCGCCGCAAAGGACTCAGAGCAGCAGCGCAACGCAGCAATGGGAGCGATTGAGCTGTGCAGGGAGGGGGGAGAAGTACTCGGTGTGTCCACCAGGGGAGCCCCTCCCTATGAAACTACTCCCCACAGCGTGAGACCAGTGGAGGACGGCTCTCAGAAGAATAAAGGATTTACCTCAAAACAAATGCATTCAATCAGTCAAATGATTTGCAAATAAAGAATATCACACAAACTCATGGAGTACACATTTTTAAATTCCTCGGCCTAAAATAAATGATTAAATGATTGTCAGTTTATTACAATTTACTGTGTTTTACTGTTAGAGAAATATATTCAATATATGTATTGAATCCATAATGCACCAACTTGTATATATAGTCCAAATAAATATCTTTATTATTTTAGTGGAAAAAACAGACTCCATGTATGTTTCCTCCAAAAGTAAAATGAAGGTACAAATCAACAACTTTTTGGGGGTCAATCTGATCCACTTAAGCAGTAGTCATACTGTACACAACCATCAAAATAAAGGTTAAATTCAGGGGACCATTGATAGATCTAGACAAAAAAAATGATGTCATATTAGAGCTGAAACTATTGATTAATTAATTAAGGTGATTAACAGAAAAAAATGCAACATTTAAAAAATATATATTTTGTATTCTTATTGAAAAAGTTTCAATCTTTCCAGCAAAATGATTTTTCTACATCTGACTTGTGAGCTGTAACACACACATTCAACTCGTGAAGCTTCCATCTTTCATTGGTCCAAAGAATATCAACCGATGCTAAGATTTGTTTATCGCCGCCGCCTTTGTCGTGATGTTAGAAACACTATGACCTTCTTAAGTAAGTGGAATGGCTCAGCTGTCACGTCAGTTTTATTGAAGTGTACATGCTGTGTTCATGGTGATATGTACAAGTGCTGCACGTGTGAAAATGTTTTTGCTTTTGCTTTTAATTACAATTACAATTCGAAAAAGCATATTTAGCTGCCACCGTTCTCCTGGTCTAGTGCAAATAGGACCAAAATGATTTTCTTTGTTTTCTTTACTAAGAGGTGTTCAAATGTGAAGTGTACACTCTCTAAAACCACTTTCTAATCCCCTTTGTGTCCGTGCTTGTTCACAATAAATCTGATCTGTGGTTAAGCATTTAGTGATTACAAGGGGGAGCTTGTGTAGGACTACAACGGCTCCTCTGTAGCCCATCCACTGTTAACTCGGTCCTCTGCACCACCCTGTATGTGCTGATGGAAGGTGACGGACACCAACGGCTCATCAGTAGAGCCACTGAGGTCAGTGACTGCATGTAAAGCTCAACGTGCTATCGATTAACTATTACCTGTGGGTGCATATGCAACCAGGGTCGCATTTACATCCCGGAGTAGACACCATCCATCCATCTGCAAACTGCTTATCCGGCACACAGGGTCACGGGGGGGCTGGAGTCCATCCCAGCCAACTTTCAGGCGAATAGACGGGGTTCACCTCTGGACTGGTCACCATCCAATGGCAGGGCTGCACAGAGAGATACAACCATTCACACTCTACGGGCAATTTACAGTCTCCAAACCAACCTGAGAGAACACACGCAGACACGGGGAGAACATGCAGACTCCACACAGAAAGGCCACTGGGCGGAGTGGAACCAGGACCTTCTTGCTGTGAGGCGACAGTGCTAACCACCACGCCACCGTGCCGCTCCCACTGTAGACACTTGCATTCTAATATGCAATCGTATATAACCACACACACACACACACACACACACACTCCTTCGTGTGACAACAGCTACTACTGCAGGTGTAAGGAAGTGGTAATGAAAATAATACAAACATGCAAATAAGATTGAAGTCAGTGGAGCAGTAAATGATGAGTAAGGCAGAGGGGTGGGGGGGAGGGGGGTAACATTATCTGACTCGCAAACAAAAGAGGGCAGTATGATGACATTCACGCAAAGCAAACTTTAACGGAAACACACTCTGATCCCAAAAAATATTTCAATGTGTTCACATGTGGTATTCATGGAGGTGTGTGTGTGTGTGTGTGTGTGTGTGTGTGTGTGTGTGTGTGTGTGTGTGTGTGTGTATGTCTGGGGTGTCTTTGTCAATGTGCTCAATGTATGCAATTACCCATTCATGTGGAATGCACATTCTCAAATATTTACAACCCCTTATTATCCCCCCCCCCCCCCCCACACACACACACACACACACACACACACCGCAGGAGATTATCCCCCGAGGCTGGGGGGGGGGGGGCAAGGGGGGGGAAAAAAAAAGGAAAAATTTTTTTCCCCCAGTTGTCACACCTGCCATCAAGAAAACACAAAAAGCTGAGGACTTTTCCTTCCATGTGTGCACCGTTAAATGCTTTTCACACTTACCCCGTCCTAAAAAAAGAAGGAAAAGAAATCCTGGTGCAACGTAAACGTGCAGCTAACAAGTGTACACGGTGTCCAGCCCAAACAGAAATCATCATGCACTGAAGTAACGGCGTGAGAATCCAACAGGAAACAAGGTGTGAAACTGACATCCCCGTGCTGTGATTACATCACACGTGCTGGAAAGCCTTTGACCGGCCTGACCCTGGTTAGCATTCAACAAACACTTGTCTCTGGGATGAAAGCCTCATTGGAAGCCAGCCTGCTAATGATAGTATACTCGAACAATCAGGGCAGAGCACACATTGGCCCCCGTCTCGCATGACGACAAACGCCAGTCCTAAATACGATGGCATCAGTGCCGCGTGTTGGAACGGGCTCCTGGTGTGCGGCGCCAACTCGGCCCACCGCTGCCAAGCATTCTTCAGATTTCATTAAGTAATAGCTCATTCATTACGGAGGCTGGGACCAGGGCTGGAGCCGCCATTAAAGCCCGATCACGCAGGATGCACGCGCACACGCAGAGCGCACACAGAGCACACACACACATACGCTGTACTTGCTGCAAAAATGCACAGAAACACACTGGCTGCAGCCGTGTACACACACACACACACACACACACCCAAGGCTTAAACGTATAATTTAGCTAAAACCTCCCCCAGGCTTGAGGGACCCTCCCTGGGTCTCTTCACCCTTCATTGAGCAAGCTTGCTGGAGGCCACTTTCCACCACTTTCTGCTTGCGATGTGTAGAAAGGGCGCAAACAACTGGGCCCTTTTTGGGCCTCTACCCTTTTGAATGACTACGTCTTTGTGCATTTGTGTGTGTGTGTAAACCTGCATGCATGACTGAAGGTCTGCCAGCAGTACTGTACTGTGCAGCCATAATCCCCAACTCCATTGTTATTGTCTGGCTTTGACTGGGTGTTTGATACTCATTCATTCATGTTTGAATATGACCTTTTTTTTTTTTTTTTACAGTAAATGGATAGAATGCATTTTCAAACGAATCTGTAATCTTCTACAAAACAATTTGGAGAAGAGGTTCTCAAACTGAAGATGGTTCGGTTATCAGGTATGTCGGTAGGGGGAAAGGAGAATTTTAAAGCCAGATGGGAAAAATTTAGCATGAAAATAAATGATCAATATTCAAATTAAATTAAATAAATTCCATCAGCTGAGGAAGGCTGTGAATTACACCTTCTTTCTTTATTTAACGTAAAACGTATTTTCTTCTCAGAAACGAGACTTGACAGAGCTAAACTCAAACGGAGCGCTAATGTTGCTTGTGTCTGTTAACCTTGTTCAAATTGCTTTAATGGCGTTACAGCCACGTATCCCATGAGAGCTAAAATGTCATTATTTAGTAGGATGGCCCACGTTTAGCCGATACTCACACTCAACTCTTTCTCACCTCGGCACCTTTGAAAAGCTGCTGCGTACACGCATGTCTTACACGCCCTTTGACCAAGATTACAGTCGCAATTTAATACAGTTCAGAATAGTTAATTTGCCATTAAAGTCGGGGGATGGAGGGGATACGTGGGCGCTGTGTGAATAGGGCATAGTGTGACTGTGGAATAGCCACGGCGTCTTAAATGAATTCAGTACAGGAGCCCCCCCCCCCACCCCCCCCGGTTTTCCCAAAGAGAGCCCCGAGTAATACATCATATTGCTCTTAAACTAGCTATTAACCACAGTGAGGACAGAGACGGAGGGGGAGGGACGGGAGGGGAAATTAAGCAACGTCTCATACAATAGCTCACCATTAACCCAAGCACTAAAAGGCTTGCTGTCTCCTTCTGTTATACGTGGCCTTAATTGATTCTCGTAGTCCCTTTGCGGGCCGTGCAAGGAAAGGGAAAAAGAATGAGGGGGAAACTTGCAGATGAGATGCCATTCCCTCTCTTTGCCTCCCTGGCAGGGTGTTTAAAACTGGCTGCCGTGCCTGTGCATTAGCCCCGTGGACAGCAGATATGCTCCCTAATCGTCTCAACAATCAAGTCCACAGCATCTGAACATCTATTCACCAACTTTGTGTCCCGTGCATCTCCAATTAAAACAGGATGGGCCATATAAGCATGGTGATGAGAGAATATGAGGAAAATTAGATACGCAGCGCTAATCTGTGGCTGTAAAGGAAAGAAATAAGATTAGGATGTAATCCACCAGTATCCATTACTGCTGCTCAAGCTGTCCCATGCAGCAAAGGTTACCGTACCAAAGAAAAAACAAACAAGCCAGTGATAAGGTTTGCTCAAGATGCGTGATTGAAATCCCATTCCGCAAATTAACATACATATATGCAAATTAGATCATAATTAATTGCAAAACATATTTTTGATTAAATACTCCAAACGTCATGATTTTAATCTTGACCGGGAATGGGAGAAATAAAGTTTTTAATTAACTTTGCCAGTTAAAGCTCATCAACACTTTGAATGGAGTTTAATTAGGACACCGCCCTCTCTCCTTATTTCTCGACGGTGAAATCAAAAATCAGCCATTGTTATCACACTTGTAATGCAACCAGTGTGGGAGATGAGGCCGAGATAAACGAGCAGGGTCCTGATTTTCATATGCAAAGTAAAATAATTCTGGTAATTGGCAGATATTCTAATATTGATTAAATTAGATGGGAAACACTCCTTTCATTAAGGCACTATGATATAGCCTAATTCTGATCATCGCCTCTGTGTCTTTGGGATTACCAATTAAACAGGCTTTGTGGAGGTTTCTGAAACCGGCGGACGAGAGAGGGCTAAAATAAATTAGGCCCATAGTTTGCGTGAGTGGAAGCGTGCCCGCCGTCTCCCTCCGTACTGTTTACCAAGGACTGTTGTTTGTGTGGGAAGTCATGGTTAATGATGTATTCATCCTTTCTGGCTGTGGAACTCCAAGCCCAACTCAATGGGTATTGTGCTCAATTTTATGAAGAGTGGGAGCTGATAATGAAAACTAACATGAAGCCCCTGAGTGGATCAAGATGTGTGTGTGTGTGTGTGTGCGGTGGGGAGGTGTGGGTACGGAGGGAAAAGGGGGCATGTGTGTGTGTGCGTGCTGGCTGGCATAACTGTATCCGTCTTCTTTCATCATGCCCAGGCAGAAGCCACAACTCACTTTCTCAAATGAATCATTCAAAGCCTCCAAAACTTTCAGCCTCCCTCCCCATCCAGCTCCACTAAAGCAGCCGTCCACTCAAGAGTATAAGGAGGCTTATTGGAGGATAAGACCATGCGAGGTGCTCGAGGTGAGACAACCAATTACCCATAATCACTTTGACTCTTCTAATCTCCCCGCTGTATCGACGGGATTTAGCTGCGGCAGCACCTGTGAAACCCGGCCATCTCCAATCTGCTGCCGTCCGCCTTTGTTATTCTAATGTCAGCCACTTGACTCATGCACTCGTGTCAGAGGGGATAAGCACCTGCTGGGTGTGGAGGGGAGGGGGTTGAGGCCCTGTGACCTTCCGAGCTAACGCTGTTGATAGATAAGTAGGATTTGGTCAGAGACTCCCGGAGTTTCGTCAGGTCACTCCCTCAGAGCAGCCGCTGCCTTCCCCGTGGAAACGGAGCAGCACACATGGAGGCTATGAAAGCCACATGTGGCTGTGGTGTCATTGCAGTAGAACTTGTTTTTCAAAGTGCATGACCAAGTGCGCTCGTTCATAGATCCAATCAGTTCCACGTCCAACAAATATTTCAGCTTCAGCATCCAAACATTACGAGGACTGAACTTTATAGGCAGCCCGTCTCAAAGAAATGTTTAAAATGCAATCTAGGCAGAGCGCTTTTCTTTGTCATTGTCTGCCTGCTGGATGACAGGCTGAGACTTTAAAATGATTTGTCCCAAACAAACATGTTGATCCAATCAATTCCCCACCGATTCATCTTTTCACTCCTTTTGTCAATCAAGGCGGTCAATGAGGTCAGCAGATGCGCTTCTTTTGTAGATCTGGTCTTGATCAACACTGACTTGTGACTTGACAAAACAACAGGTTCTCTACCTGTTTTCTACAACAGATTGAGTGAGCAAAAAGGTCCTTGTGCATGTACTTTTAACTGGTTATGTACTACCAATGTTACTCATACAATGATTCTCAAATGTAAGGAATTAGG